GGTTAATTAAAAATTATGTTTGATGAGATGCTATTATGTGTTTGATTGAATATGTGAAATATTACTAATTACACCTATAACCTTTTCCTATATTTTGTTTATCATTTTTCTTATCATATGATATTTTTGATTATAGATCATGTATGTTTCAGTAGCACTAAATTATGGCTAATCCATTTATTATCAATTAAATGGATATGTCAAAATTTTTGCTATTTCTTTTTAAATATTAGTAATTTTTGAAACAAAGATATTTCAGAAATATTGAATTGAAATGATATAGGTAAGCTAATCAAATTGAACATTTCCGGAATTGTATCCTTTGGTTAACTATAGAGTTATCATCATCAATCAGGTTTGTATCAATCAGGAACGGATGAATGTAAGATGATGAAAAATAGATTTTCGATTTCAAAAATTTTCCATTTATTTCCCTCTATACTATAATTTGTTATCTCTCAATTAGAAGCTAAGTTAAGTTGGAAATTTGTTTTCTGCATTTTTCCTGAAATGAAATCCGTCAAAATACGGATTTTTTGAGTATCCCTCCCGGCTGTCGTTCGAATAAACAATTGGAGAAGCTAAGAGAGGAAGGAAGTGTTAAGGATAAAGAGTTATCCGGAATCCGGAATGAAATAGCTAATAGAGTAATTCAATTAAAGATATTAAAATACATCGTAGAGTTTTCATTCTTTTGGATTTTATATCATCAATATTAGTATTTAATTAATTTAATTTAAATATTTGAGTAATTAAGAACATAGATATTGATTTTTCTCCAACAATTAATGAAGCAAATCCTGATTCATATGGCTAGTCCTTATTTTAGGCACTCTTGCATTCAAGGCTTATTTCAACTCTAATTCAAATTAGAAGTTGATCTTCATGCTAATTGACTTGTGTAAGGCTTTATCATGAGATAATCTATCGAGCCTAATCCTAATTAAGCCTATACTTGTCAACACCTAATTCAATTCTAATTAAACAATATTTGGTGACCATTTTAACATAACCTATCTTAGTGTCAATCATTTCAAATTTTCAACAATCTGAGCATTCTAATTTTCATTCCATATTTTCATTTCAGATTTTCATTTCATATTTTCATTCCACATTTCCATTTCAAATTTTCATTTCATATTTTCATTTCATATTCCATCGAATATCGGCTAAACATAACGGCTCCTCATTTCGACTAGGAAATATAGCGGCGACCTAATTTACGAGAAAGAAGAGAGAGGGAGAGAGGAAAGAAAGGGAGAGAGAAGGGGAGGGAGAACGAGAGAGAGAGAGAGAGAGAACGGAATTGTGAGTTTCAGTTGCGAGATATCTATTAGCACGATTTATACCCCGCTGGGGAAGTTCCTGATTGAGGACGAAGTAATTCCCGGGGATGTTCTGAGATTTGAGAGATCGAGGTGATTATCATCGATGCATTCGTGTTTTTGTTTGTTGAAAGATGTGCTGAATTAAACAGAATCATGCAAAGATAGAAAATTAACTGAAAATGATATTTTCGAAAAAGTTTAAATTTGAATGAAGTAAAGATCATTTTGAAAAAAAAAAAAAGCTGCTCATACTGATAATACTGTATCATTACTGATTCTTTTGTGTATTTTTAGATTGCTTTGAATTGATCAGTTTACCGAATTATTATCATTTTACGGAGATGGTTGGTGATAAATGGCTGCCAAGTATAGTTTAATTTAAAGAAGCTTTCTGAAATGCTGCTGTATTACTAAATCTTAATTTTTAAACTATTTTCAAGGTTTGTTTTCTCTAATTAACTAATTTCAATCTAATTAATTTTTTGCTTGTTTGCTTCCATACATGGATTACATGAAATTTATCATTTGTCGTGAATAAACGCTATGAAAGAAAAATATAAAGAATTATAAGTAAATATGTTTTGCATGCAAGATACTATCACTATGCATGGTATTGTACATTTACTCTTTGTTAATACTGTACCCAAAGAGCTTTATACCAATGTACGGTAATGAAATGCTTTATCCATGCTAACGTTTGAACAATATCTGCGAAGTATATATATATGTATATATATCCTTCATACAGCAGAATAACAGTCTTTTTTTTTTGTTAGTCTTCAAATTGACATCTTTAAAACTTATCTTATGATGACGTGTTTTTGGGGCTTAAGTTTAGATGTTAATTTGTGTTTTGTAATTTTAATAATTATGCGGCGTTAATGTCGTTTCTTTTATTTAACCGTTTAATTATCCAAGTGTGAGGTGAGAATAACGAGGAATTTGCAATTCTGTATGATGTTACCCAAAAGAACTCATTAATTTTTTTTTACTTTATCACTCTCATTTTCGTTATTGAACATATTTCATTAATAACAAGTTAATATAGGTTCAGCGAAGTTAGCAGTTGAATTCAGCAAACATTCTGTCATGTTCTGGAAGAAGCCAAGAATTGAACTCTAGCAAATAGATCTTCCGTATGATTGGCTAATTTCATCAACTTGTCCTTTCAAGTAATCCTTCCAGATAATGAAGTGAGATTAAAATGGCAGCAAGCGAAAGTGAAGGAAGTTACGGAGCTATGCTGAGTTCGTTTACAACCTCCGTGAAGGCTGATTTGGATAGTCCCGTAACATCCAATTTTGGAAATCGTATTGTCGAATATCGTGCTGAGGTATGTCGTCCGGTTTTTTTTTCAAATTTTTGTCACTCCTTGTTGTATATAGTATGGCGAAGAAAACAAATGGTTCCTTTTGTTCGCATTCGCTTTTGTTTATATTCTAGCGAAATTTAGAGACTCGTATCTTAAATTTTAAATGTTTAAACGCTTATTAGATGTTACGAAGTCTTTTACAGATTGATTAAAAATCGTAAGTTGTATTATCATCGATCATTGTTATATTATCGTCGATCATTTTGAGATATTAGTCATTTCCATCTTAATGCATAACTTTATTAAGTACAATATAAGCTGGAAATACAGATATGTTGGTGTGCGGCCATGATACTTGTCACATTTGATGCTAAATTTATTCTTGGAGATCAGTTTATAGTGAAAAAGTTTTCAGGAATTTTAATTCTCATGAAATTTTCATGTTTTGTAGGCACAGCGAATTGTTGAAGAAGCTGAAGGCTATACGGTGGATTTCGAACGGCTACGTAAGGCTGCAAAAGAAGTGGAAGATACTTTAGTGATTCTTTCAAGGCAACTTCTCGCTTTTGGGCAAACAGCTAAAGAGGTAAGTTTACATATTGCTGCCTGAAAGTTAGTATACTAGCATGTGAAATGGAATAGATTAAACTCTGATGACTTTAATGAATGTTTGAAATTTTATAATTTTTTTAAGATCGCTACCAAGTGGACTTCTAGATCAGAATCGCAGTATGAATCTGATGTGGCTGTTATACTCATGAAAATGGAGTGCCATATCAAGGTATAGCTTTCATATTTTCGTTTACAAATTTTTTAAGGGAACTTCGGTCTTGCCATTATTCTTTTATGAAAAGCCTTTAGTGATTTATGAATACCTTTTCTTTAATGGTAATATCTAACTAGTTTTGCATGACTGGCTTCTTAATAATTTTTACTGCAAAATTTGTCCATGAAGTTATTTCGTTATTTTGGAATTTTGAATGTCTTTTGCTCGCGTGAAATTAATTTTGATGTTATTAAAGGATGAAGCTGATTTGACGAATTTACAAATGCGGAATTGGCAAAGCAATATTGTCACTCCGTTCCTAACATTAGTGGAAATCTTACGTGAAATTCGCTAATCGAGGGGTGGAACGGTCATGCCGTGATTATGAAAATAAATATATGAAAGCGGAAGCTGATGCAAGGAAGCATGCAAAAGTTGGCTTTATTGAATAATTGGCTTTACTGAATAACAAAAGAGTTTGCTGTAGATCTTTATTTGATATACTTCGTGTCGTCCACACTTTAAGATTCTCTTCACTTGATATTGCCGAATCATCTTTTGTAAACATCTATGATGCATCGTATTTTGGTCATGATATTTTGATTTCTCTTGAACCCTCTACCCTTGTCTATATTCTTGTTGTGTTAAAAAAGAAAAAAAATTCATTTTATAGCACGCTGGTTATACCAGAAGTCAGTTGGGTCATGGTGAACTGGCGGAACAGTTGACACGAGAAAGACTAATGGTGCAATACGAGCTATGCAAGGTAAATGTCAGAAGTCATTTTTGTATGTCAGTGAATCGTATTAAACTAAATTCTATTGAATTCGAATTGAAGTAGATGTATAATGAAACTGGACGTCAGCTAGGCAGTTTTTTTAGTAGTGATGCTTTATTGAAAACCTCCTAAGCCTTTGTCATTCATGAAATGTAAAGCTAAATGTTGCGTTCCAAATGTGCCATTTTTTTATCGTGTGGTGTTTGTGTGTGAAAATAATCATGTGTTTGTCAAATCAGCAGCTATTACTTAGCTGCTCAAGCTTTTCAAGGATGGGAGATTTTGTTCGTTTAAAATCTACTTCTGGTAATGAAATTTAGTTCCTGATGTCTGTTGATTCGATAGAAGATCGCCGCGGTCCACAGTTGTTGCGACACTTCATGGAACTTGTTCGCAATCAGAATTCGTAAGTTACATTTTCTCTTGATTTTTACATATTTTATATGTAAATTTGGACTGTGCTATATAATATCATATATGTAAATTTAGACTGTGCTATATAATAAAACTCTGGATAGACTAGCTTGATTTAGTTATGCTCATCAATCCTTGGAGAGATCTTGGTAATTCTATTTTGTTACGAACTTCAAACTTATGTTCCTAATCTCTGTCACAGTGTCATTTCTAGTTATTATATGAATCGAGTGAGAGTAAATGAGGATTTCCGACAAGATATGACTAAGTTGGAGGAGCGAATGATGACACGAAATGCAAATCGTTGTGCTAAGCGGAATGCACTTTGGGATTTAAAAGGCCAGTTGGAAGCGAATGATGAATTTGCACGTTCCGCTTCAGGTAAATGAAGTGAATTTGAAAATCACTGAATGTCAAAATAAGATTTTGATGAAGCAAATGCTTTTAAAGTATTTCCGTTGGTGCTGTTTCACGTTTTTATTTCACGTTATCAAAAAAAGTTTTTTTTCCACTCCTATGTCACTTTTCTCTCACCATACAAATAAGCGATATCATTTTATGTTTGTGTTTTTAACACATGTAACTACCCTCACAACATTTTTTGCAGGACGTCGGTCATCGGGGCGTGACTCAATGAATCTTGGCAGCCGTCTATCCGGTATTAATTTAATCAGTGCCAGTAGTGCACTTTTGACGGATAATGATCCGTTAAGTGAATTGGCCACAAGTACAGCTTTCTTCCCAGATCTTGATTTCACTCAATCCGGTTATTTGTACAAGAAAAGTAACAAGAAGTTGCACAAGCAATGGCAAAAGCGTCGTTGCCGTATTGAGGATGGGCATTTCTGGCTGTCACATTCTGATGTATTTTTTTCGGATTCCATCCTCCTGTTTTTCCTGCTTAAGCTTTAAATCTTTATTATTTTGTTAAGTCCACCAAGTCCCATCTATATTGAAATATTCGATATTCTTTCATTTCTTGAGCTGAATTTCTGTGATGTCATATGACAATACAAAACTAGATGGAGCAAACATCAGACTTTTCCTGTTCATTGTGATAGGAATAGAGCAGTAAATGCACCCAAATATATATAATATCGTTGCTTGTATCTTTTAAGGAATCTATACCACCAACGAAGCTGAGTCTTCTTGTATCGGATTGTAAGCCATCAACCGATGATCCAAAAACCTTCGATTTATATTGTCGTGAGAGGACATATCATCTCCAAGCTGATTCAGAAACTGATGCAAAAAGGTGCTAGACTAAATCGAATCCTCGGAAATCAGAATTTTTGTTATCAATCTGACTAACTTTTATAACACTTTTTCTAAAATCAAAATTAAATGTCACAACAATAGTTATAGATGGATGCTTGCATTAAAACGAGAAATAACAAGAGTTAAGACGAAGATGCTGTCGGCTGAAACACCTCAGGGAAGTGAAGGCGGTAGTAGCGGTGCTGTTTCAGAATTGTACGAAAGAAAAATGTGTATCGCAAAAGTGCGGCAGCTTCCTGGTAACAGCATATGTGCTGATTGCTCATCAAAAGAAGGTCTGCTGGTTATTGTAACCCCATTAAAATATTGCAATAAATGGCTTTCTAGATGAGTCTTCGGACAAATCGGAATTTTCGTCTTATAAGAAAATTGATCTGATTTTATACATTGATTGTTTTATACACTGAACTGAGGAATTTTCAGATGTGCAGTGGTTGTCAAATATTGGTGCACTAGTCTGTATTGCTTGTAGTGGTGTACATCGTGAATTGGGTGTCCATGTAAGTAGGATACAATCACTAAATTTGGATGTTATATCACCGCTGGAATTTTTTGTAAGTTTGATTTTTAGATCCTAAAAGTGAACAGTTATATTCGTTCTGTCAGATTTGCCTTACTTTAGTTGGGAACCTTGATGAGGACTGGAAGAGTTATTTTTTAATTAAACAAGAGTTCTTAATTTCATGTTACTTCAGGTACCACTTTCATCAGGTAACGTTGTAATTAACCGTTTGTTCGAATATGATGCGGCCAAATGTGCAACATGGAAACCAATTCCAGGATGTACAAGGTACGTTGAGCACTATTATATTTTATGTTATTGATACTATCATTGCTGAACCACTGCTGCTTACGATATGTTTCATTGTATGTTGATCGTGTCTAATAAATGAGATAAATTCAGTAGCAATTGCATCATCTGGATAATTGCATTTTCCATAACCGCAAATTTACTTTTTAGTATAAAAGTAAGAAAGCAAAAATGAAGTTTGAGTTATTTTCAGATTTGATCGTCAACGTTTCATTCAAATGAAGTACCGTGATCGCGCTTTTGTACAAAAACTTGATGATCCCGATGTATCTCTAACTGAAGCGTTTAATGATTGCGATTTTGAGAATGCATACAGGTATAGCTATCGTTTTTTTCATTCTTAATTTTCATCAAAAAAAGAAAACTGTATTCGTCATGTCAGAATGGAGCAAACTAACTTTGCTCCAAGATATTTGAATGTATTTCAGAGCACTGCTTAGTTCAAATTTAACGAGAAAGCCATTTTTACAAAATGGACCGTTTCATCAAATGGTTTTGCGCGGTACTTCGTTGTCATTGCCCGTTGCGGATTTGGTCATGCAGCTAAGGTCTTTCTTTTTGTCATCAAGGTCTTCTGGCAGGGTTGAACTTTTAACCGCTTAAATTTTGTCTATTAAAAAATAAGTCGAAGAAGGGTAGTGCTTTTTATATGCGCCACATCACTTATATACTTATAATAAAAACTTTTTTGAATATTTCTTCAGAATTGAGATTCCCGATATGGAAACAATAATGATGGATTGCATCCGCTCTGGAAATGCCGATATGGTGGCTATTTTATTACGCTACCGCTCTTTAAGCTCTACTGTTCGTGGCATACATTTGCATTCACTTATTACATGTTCTGAGAAAGCTCAACAAAAGAAAATTACTGAAATGGTATCAACTTATTGCTGGTGTTGTAATCAGTAAAGTTAGATATCACATAACAATCAACTTTGTATGAATCATTATAAATATATGAGTATTCGACTGGCTGTTTCGAAGATTTCATTGTAGTTAAAATATGGTTTTTCGTTGTAATCTCATCCGGTAACTTTTTCGTTGTAATCTCATCCGGTAACTGTACGAGTCTTCCGGAACTTTAACCAATTGTTCCAGTTTACAATGTTTTTTTATTTAGTTGAGAAATACTGCTCAAAAAAAAGTCTATCATTGTCTTTTTAACTTCTCACCAGTAGCTTTTAATAAAGAACTCCCACTATTGTCTCAGTATCACCATTCTCAAATTGTACCATTTTGAATCTTTTAGGGATTTGTTTTTATGCATATCATTTTCAGAGGATTTTAAAAATTTGGTTTTTTCAGTTGCGCTCACTGCAGCTGGGTGATAGTACGCAGGTGCAAAATGTGGCTGTTCCACCAATTTTGTTTGTTTCGACGCCTGATTCTGGTAAGTGTGATGAATTTATAAAAAATAAGTAAATATTCAGAGGAGGAATTGGACGTGGAGAAATAAAAATTTCAAAGTCGGAGTTAGGATGTCCACATTTCATGAATTTCAAAAACGACTCTTACAGCATCACTCAGTCGATCGTCATCTTCCGTTTCGCCTTGTCCACATCTCCCTCCTGATTCAATTGCTTCGCAGAATTTCACATCGAAACCAGTTAATGTCCTCATGCGAAATGGTACTACTATCTCCGTTCCGCGATGTACTTTTTTTCCATCATGATTGCTGCTTCGAGACGTTAGTCGTCTCGGAAATCCTAAATTTTGATTTCATCTATCGTCCTAATTTATGAAAAATTTTTGATGATATGTAGGAGATTTTTGTAAAGAAATATATTTCATACATTTTGAATTCACTTTACGAAGAATTGTTCATTTACTTTTGAGAAAATCCTTAATGAGCGATTCGTTACAGTCTGAGAGTAGCAAAGATTTAATGGTTTCAGAGTATAAAAAGAAATATCCTCTCTAGTGCTTCAAGTGAGCTAAGTACTGCCACTTATTGGGTGATAAAATTTGATTGGTCTGAGAATACAGAAACTTAAATATCAACCGGATGAAAAGATTTGGCTATTGTGTATTTTATCTGGAATGTTTTGTGTGACCGTGAAACGCTGGTAGTACATAGCATTGAATGGTTAGAAAGTTCTGATATACTCATTTTTTACTTTGTAACATCATGGATGAGATGTATTTTATAGCATCCTTATCAATGGAAGAAATTAGAAGCAATCGCTTATCCAAGCAAACTTTTGTTGCTAATGAACCCGCTCATTCTTCCGTTGGTGAAGGTGTGGTACAGATCACTATCTCGGGCCCTTCTTCATCAGGTTATATACTACTTTAATTTTTGATTTTTATTTGCGTTTGTTAGACATTTCCTTTTATCTTGATGGCATGGCTAGCGATTATTGTCGGCTTTGTAGCTCAACTTTTCATTGTTTTGAAATGAGACGATTGTATATGCTACACTATACTGGTAGTGCATTGTGAATTCAGTTTTGTTTTTACGTTTTATAGATTTGTATTTCATTAAAGGAAGCATCAAACCCGTTTTTTAATATCAAATTTAATGAGGAACAAATAGAGACATGTTATTGCTTTTGCCTTGCCGTATATATCTAAAATATTATTAATGTTTCAATTCATGTTATCAATCAAAAGATGTTACTAATTAGTTTCATTATAACTCCAGCGATTTCACTTCTGCTTTTTTAATGGTAGTGTTTTTGTGATTTGGATGGGCTTCTTTACAGAAACTTATGCTCATAACAACACACAGCCAAGTAGTTCCATGAACTCTGATGGAGAAAAAGATTTACTGACATTCGAACTACCACTCTGTACTTCGACACCATCATCTATTATATCCTCTGCACGCACAGTTGCACCTTCAAATCATTATTCTCAGGTAAGTTTTCAAATCTGATATTTCAAGAAGTTATGTGTAGATGCTGTTGATTGCCGTTTTATGAAATTTAGTGACGTTTTTTGTTTCGGCAACAAATTGCTGAGTGTGAATATCAAATTCCATGTATCCGAAGATACCATAATGTCAGAATTTTCTCTTACTCTAAATACGATCTTTGTGTTATAGACATTGGCGTCTGTCCCGATTTCTTCCCCATTACCAATTTCTGCTGCACCGACGCAAAGCAATGCAAAGTGTTATATTCGATCAGCTAGTGAATATTCACGAACTACAAACTATTCTGAAGTATGATTACTCTCGATTTTAGTGAGTCACTAGTCCTTAACTTCATAGCCATTTCAAATGGTTATTGGTGGCATTTTATTCCTGGACTAAACAAACTTATTTCAGAATAACAGTAGATCAGGAACGGTTAGATCTCTTCCAGGACATCTCGCTCCACAATCCAGTTCCACCAAAGGTTGAGTTTTTGACACTGTTCTGTCCATAAGCGCCCCAATTTTGCGAGGTTGTTACGATTTGCGAAGATCTATGTTGACATATATTGAAACATCAATTTTTCAAGTTTCAATCAAACTAACATAACAACACTAACACTATGCTGTTATTCGGCCGAGTTTTTGCGGAAAAAACGCTGCATCACAATGGCAACTTGGCTACTTTGTAATTTTGCCACGCGAAAGTATTGAAGTTGAATGTGGAAAAAAGTTGTTCAAATGATCATATTGACATTTGAATGCAGTCAAAAGATGAGTGGTACAGTAAAAGGAAAATGAGGATCGTTAGAGACAATTACTTTCTTTCCAGGTAGTGATGGAGTGGTGGAAACAACATTGCCGATCGCTGCTTCGATGAGCCTTAATCCTATCCCTTTGAATGCTCAGAAGCATGCGATGAATATATATGTAGTCGCTCCTGGAAAAGAAGAAATAATTGATAAAGAGAAATGTGTTGCGGAGACACGGGATGAGAGAGAAGGATCTATAAGAAATCCACATCTTACGGATGAGCAAGGCTAGAGTAGTAGATTTATTTCTAGTTTTTGAAGACTTTTGTTAGCAGTATAATCAGAGTTGTTGTAATATTTGTTCACTGTGCTGCTACTTCAACTTGTAGAGAGCGGTTGATTGGACTGTTCTTCCAATGTTCTAAATCCACTTTTGCATGGAAGTATTTAGCTTTCAACTTACTGAAAATTGCAATTATAGAACTTTGTAAAAACAGATGGAAATGTAATCACATCATTTCAAGCTTATCTTACACAAAGCTTCAAGGTCATAGCTTTAAGGTTTACACAAAGACTTAAGATCAAGAGCTATTCGAAAATATTATATTTCAGAAACGGTCAAAGCAACTTCATTGGCTTTGGACCAGGTACGTTCAAATTTCACGTCGTGTGATGAGCATCCTCGCTCTTCTTTAATGAATCCATTAGCAGCAAATGGTTTACAGCGGGAAATGCCTCGATATATTTCGAAAAGTAAGCGATTAACACGACCAGCTCCTGCACCACCAGCATTATTCGGTGTCAAACTAAAACCGCCGATTCCGGCGCCAAGACGTTTGCCATCTATTACTAGAGAAAACAAACAGGTGAGCAAGATATACCTGAATTATGATTCTTATGACTTGTATCTTGTGATGGTCGTGTGGATTTATGAAAATTCTGTTCTATTAATATTTCTGAGGTCAAGCAGAGTTAAAATTAATCTATTAAACTGATTTTAAAATAATATAACTATTATTCTTAATACTGTTTCAGTTGTACTTGTTCCATTCAGTCTGTAGGATTTCTCTAATCCTTTCGCCTTATAATTAAATCTTAAGAGATTATTTGTACGACGAAATCTGAAAACTATTGTTAGCACTAATGGCTGTTTAAGTCTATGCATTATCCCTGCATTTTCTGCTTTTATAAGGACAATAAATAGAAAATTTCAGAGAGATTGTGCACGACGCTGTCGAGCTCTATATGATTGTAAAGCTGATAATTCTGATGAGTTATCATTTCGGCAAGGTGATATAATAGTGATTACGAAAGAAAAGATTATTGGTGAAAATGATACTTGGATGGTAAGCTTGCTTTCACTAAAAGTGAGATCATTCTCAGTAGTAGATGAGATAGCTATTGATATACTATTGGTGTGAATAAGATAGCTATTGATATACTTCAGCTAATTATGGCGATTTCTCATATAAATTCTATCTTTTTCTTAAAGTTAAATGCACAAGGTACTTTTGGAAATGGCAGTGTGTTTTGTTAAGAATTAAAAACTTATTCGTACTTTTAGAACTTGTCTCAAAATTAAATCGAGCAGCAGCGTTCCAAAACTCTTTGTGTTGAGTCGGGAAGAAATCTACTTTCTTATTGTTTAGTTATTTTAAATTCAGTGCGAATTATTCATTTTTAATTAAGTTATTGGTACTTCATTCTGCACAAAACTAATAAGCCAACATGCGGCAGCTTTTCCAACCACTCTTACTTTCCTAAAAAATGAAAGAAATTGTAGTTACTGTCATCACTTTCGCATATCGCCTCATGCTTAAAGTATAATTTGCAAATACATACTTTTGATATTGAATTCAAATCACTGATTTTCAGGAAGGATACTTGGAAAATAATCCGTTATGCAGAGGTGTATTTCCGATAACGTTCGTGACATTCCTTTCTTGAATATTATTCTTACCTGAGCATTTGCAATTATCAGGATATATTGAAAATCGTCATTCAAATCGTTAATGAGCTATTT